AAAGTCTCCTTACTGCTATGTCATTGATTTTCACCCTTCCACACTCTCACTTTAAAGGAGCGAATATGATACATTTGTTTGTTTTTCTAACTTGGAGACTAATTATCATATTTTTTACGCAACAGAGTGAGTTTGAAAGAGAAATGATAGTAGTTGCTACAGTAGTGAAATGGTAAAGATTCATAAATGAAAAGATACAAAATATTAACTTCAAATATCAAACTTTTTGTTTGTGTTTTTCAATTGTAGGAATTCATTGTTCATTAACTTTTTTTTCTTCTTTTCTTTTCTTTTCTTTTTTTTTTTTTTTTTCTTTCTTTCTTTTTTTTCTTTTTTTTCATGACAATACATAATCCTCTGGGGTGCGGGAAGAACCGCACAGGTATATGAAAAAAATCAATAAAAAACACAAATTAGGTCTTAAAAGAAGCAAAATGTTAAAATACATCAGATATCCAAAAATAAAGAAAATCCATGTCCTGTTTTTTTATGACAATCAAACCCCCCTTAAACCCCCTTATTCCCACAACCACCACCACCAGGGACAGTCCCCTTAAGAATTCATACATATTTTCTTTTGAATGAATGTTTTCCCCTATTATGTTTTGAATAAAAGTCTTGAGTAAACGTCTTTTTGTTGATTATAGTTTTATCATGAAATGGAAATGGTCATTGTTAAGTTTATTATACTCCATTTGGGGATATATTAATTTGGCGTAGTGTCTGCTGGGAAAGTGACTATTTGGCAAATAGTTGTCATGAAATATACACCCTGAAGTGTCTAGGGAAGTAATAGCAGATTACATATGATACATCTGAAAAGGAAATATAAGATTTGAAAAAAAGGATATGAAAGTGCAAAAGAAATGTGGATTTGTATTGAAACCATGTCATATAAAAAGCAAAACCCCATTTTATGATAGCAGTTGCATAAACATTGTGGCAAATGAAATCAGACTATAATTGTTGATTTTTATATAGGTTAAGGATTTTCCTAATTCTCATTTCCCCATTATTGCTCTTGCTTGACTTTCCTTTAACCCTTTCCCTGATATGTACATCATTCAATGACCATACTGAGGGCTTCCGATCAGATACGTGCATCAATGTACGCATGTAACAAAATAGAAAATAAACACAGACGTTATGTGTAAATACATTTGTGTGTGTGTGTGTGTGAAAATAAAGTGAAATGGCGGAGCGCGCCCAAAAGGTGTGTTTTGTTTGCTGTCACACCCATGTCAAGCAGAAGAAGAAGGCACTTACTTCATTTATGTGTCTAGAGTGTAATGCTAGTTTGTGCGTAATTCCATGCTTTGAGGATTATCACACAAAGCAAACATTCTAGAATAATAATATAGCATGCCTGTACATAAAAAGATTAAAAAAAAAAGATTGTTGTATCTGTTGTAATTTTACATTGTTGTAAACCTCACGTTTATGTGGAAAACTACAATTTCATATATTTACTAAAATCATTTTCATAAATTACAAATTTATAGTATAACAACAGAAGCTGTTACATGATTGTCAGGTATTGCCTGCTCTTGTTTGTCAAAGATATTATTGGTGTCTGAACTAAGTGAAACGACGCTGCCGGGCGTACGACTAACTTCAACAATAATTTTTTTTTTTTTATAACTAATAATTGAAAATGTATTTATTGCCCAATGGTATGGTAATTGTATACATCTGTGCTACAAAAAGAAATATTCAAAACTTCAGAAAATGTTATTCAGAAAATACTGAAAAGGCGTATCACACGGGATGCAAATGATTTCAGAGCGTATCAGTGAAAGGGTTAATATATCTCTGCACAACCTCCTCTTGTGTTGACTTATTTTCCTCATCCTTGAAACAGTTGTTAAGTAGTGATAAATTTAACATTAACCCATTTATGATGGGTGTCCCACATGAGAAATATTGGGAAAAAATTGCTGGGTGTCCCGCCGGTGTGACGCTGTATTGGGGCCCCACACGCAGATTTTGTAGCTGCCCAGAAACTTTTATTTTCAGCTTCAAAATATACCAGCGCCGGTGGGTTAATGTGTATGATAAACAGAATTGTAAGAAGAAACTCCCTTTTTTTCTATCATTGGATTATTCTTAGAATATTCCAAATGAATTTGGAGCTATTTTAATTTAATCAATATAGATATGTTCAACCCAATATCTGCGGGTAAAAAAAAGTTTGTTACGTGGACATGATCACTGCGTTTTTGGTGCGCAATGAGTTTCCCTATTTGCAAACAGGTCATTTGGTAGTTTGTGAGCAACATTCGGCATCTAAAAGCTTTTAATTTCAATTTTTTTATCCTTTTGGCCATTTTTCAATGGCCATATTTGTTTTTTGATTTGCTTTACCTAGATGGTAATAGCTTATTTATCTTGCACAGACTCCATATCATCTTTATGTAGTAAATGGCTCAGTGCAATAAAGAAAAAAAATATGGAAAATTTGGCTATATGTGGCATATATCTCATTATTTCGTAATTTTCTATCTTCTGTAACACAACCTGCGATGCAGTCACAGCAACCAGGAATATAGTGTGCAGTATAGAAATGGCATCCTCCCTGGAGCCAGTGTTCTTCAAGTCTTTACACCCATTACATTACATGCTAAAGGCCCCTTCTAAGCGCCAAATGAGTCAAATCACACTCCAAGGGGATTGTGTACTCATGACAGCAAGTGTGTGTCACCCGGCCAAAAGCCATTTTACCTGAGGAAGGCATAATCATGTCACCCAGCCCTCGATCCAGATTTTACCATGATGGGACTGTAATGTCATCTGGATCGTAGGGGTTACTATAAAAATGTTGAAGTTTTACCTTCACTTTATGTGCTATTGCCTAAAAGCTTTGCCATAGGCATGAAGCTGCCTCAACAGAGAAAAACAAGCTCTGCCCAATGAGCCCATGGCGTGGGAAGGGTCGAGATGTGATGCCACCCACTATTTTGTCTACAAACAGTCATTGCATCATGGGAAATGTCACCCAAGGATGAAGGGCTAAGAGACGTATTTATTAATGGGATAAAGAACATTTTATTAAAAACCCTGCTATCTCCAAATTGCTCCTCAGGCAGCCTCATGTAATTTCTTCAGTGAATGCGTTATAGAGTGAAAGGGCTTCCCAATGTTTTTCTTTTTTTTTTATCACAGCTTAGTGTTTGATGATGCCAGTATATTACCCGTGTACTTACAATTGTACTGCAGTATCTTTCATCAATTTTGAGATATTTATAATGTTTCCTCAACTTTTAGTAAATAGCAACATTGTCATGTTTAAGATTTACCTGTATCTCACCTGTTTACCCCATTCTTTGAATTTTCATGACGAAAGGTTTTATTTGAATAGCTGTTATTAATGTAACCAAGTTAGGAGCATAATAATGATTATGATAATGACAGTAGTAACCATAATCATGTTAATAATATTAACAATAATGATGATAGTAATGATGATTAAGTTAATGATAGTGATAATAATAATGATATAATGATGATGATGATGATAACAATGATAATGATTATGATGATTATAGTAGTAATGATAATGGTGATGGTAATGATGATTATAGTGATAAGAATAATGTTAATAATAATGATGATAATAGTGATGATAATAGTGATAGTGATGTTATTGGTAATATTGATCATGATATTAGTTATAATGATAATGATACTAATGATTATAGTAACATTGATGACAATAATGTTAATAGTAGTCATCAAAATGAAGAGAAAAAAAATCAAGGATGAAGGTAAACAGGTTAAATTGCATAGACCTTTATTTGTAAACAAATTTGAAAAAAAGGTAGTGTGAACATTGCATTTACTTAGGTGCCTCTGGGTTAAGGGCCAACTGTATTCCAGGGCTACTGAGATTGGCATAATCTAAGCTAAATCTGACTGGATTGTAGGACAAAGGATTAGCTTTTTCACTTTTTATAACAGATTTAATGTGCACTTTGCTGCATTACTTGCACTACTAGTCGATGTCTCAAGAGGCATGCATTACTGATAAAAGATCAAAATTGAGATTTCGCAGCTTCAACCTTCTAAGCTGCCAGGGCCAGTGATTGCCAGACTGGAGTTTCAACCTGTACTGCTTCCTTGTTGATTTGCTAATATTTGATTTGTGTTTGTGTTAAAAAAATTTGTTTGGCGTGGTTAAATTCCAATTTTTAAAATTTGTACTGATTGATTTCACACTTGAGTTGTATGACATATTTATTTATTTGTTTTATTCCTTACTTTCTTGTTTCTGGTCCATTTTGATAGATAAAATGTTTGAATTTTGTGACCCAGCCACCAGTATATAAGGACTTTTTCTCTTAATCCCTTGTCTCACTCTGTGTTTCTCACAGTATCCTCTCCCTACTCCTTTTATCTCTCTCTCTCTCTCTCTCTCTCTCTCTCTCTCTCTCTCTCTCTCTCTCTCTCTCTCTCTCTCTCTCTCTCTCTCTCTCCTCTCTCTCTCTCTCTCTCTCTCTCTCTCCTCTCTGGCTCTCTCTCTCTCTCTCTCTCTCTCTCTCTCTCTCTCTCTCTCTCTCTCTCTCCTCTCTGTCTCTCGTCTCTCTCTCTCTCTCTCTCTCTACTCTCTCTCTCTCTCTCTCTCTCTCTCTCTCTCTCTCTCTCTCTCTCTCTCTCTCTCTCTCTCTCTCTCTCTCTCTCTCTCTCTCTCTCTCTCTCTCGTCTCTCTCTCTCTCTCTTTCTCTCTCTCTCTTCTCTCTCTCTCGCTCTCTCTCTCTCTCTCTCTCTCTGCTCTCTCTCTCTCTCTCTCTCTCTCTCTCTCTCTCTCTCTCTCTCTCTCTTCTCTCTCTCTCTCTCTCTCTCTCTCTCTCTCTCTCTCTCTCTCTCTCTCTCTCTCTCTCTCTCTCTCTCTCTCTCTCTCTCTCTCTCTCTCTCTCTCTCTCTCTCTCTCTCTCCTCTCTCTCTCTCTCTCTCTCTCTCTCTCCTCTCTCTCTCTCTCTCTCTCTCTCTCTCTCTCTCTCTCTCTCTCTCTCTCTCTCTCTCTCTCTCTCTCTCTCTCTCTCTCTCTCTCTCTCTCTCTCTCTCTCTCTCTCTCTCTCTCTCTCTCTCTCTCTCTCTCTCTCTCTCTCTCTCTCTCTCTCTCTCTCTCTCTCTCTCTCTCTCTCTCTCTCTCTCTCTCTCTCTCTCTTCTCTCTCTCTCTCTCTCTCTCTCTCTCTCTCTCTCTCTCTCTCTCTCTCTCTCTCTCTCTCTCTCTCTCTCTCTCTCTCTCTCTCTCTCTCTCTCTCTCTCTCTCTCTCTCTCTCTTCTCTCTCTCTCTCTCTCTCTCTCTCTCTCTCTCTCTCTCTCTCTCTCTCTCTCTCTCTCTCTCTCTCTCTCTCTCTCTCTCTCTCTCTCTCTCTCTCTCTCTCTCTCTCTCTCTCTCTCTCTCTCTCTCTCTCTCTCTCTCTCTCTCTCTCTCCTCTCTCTCTCTCTCTCTCTCTCTTCTCTCTCTCTCTCTCTCTCTGCTCTCTCTCTCTCTCTCTCTCTCTCTCTCTCTCTCTCTCTCTCTCTCTCTCTGTCTCTCTCTCTCTCTCTCTCTCTCTCTCTCTCTCTCTCTCTCTCTATCTCTCTCTCTCGTCTCTCTCTCTCTCTCTCTCTCTCTCTCTCTCTCTCTCTCTCTCTCTCTCTCTCTCTCTCTCTCTCTCTCTCTCTCTCTCTCTCTCTCTCTCTCTCTATCTCTCTCTCACTCTCTCACTCTCTCACACACTCTCTCTCTCTCTCTCTCTCTCTCTCTCTCTCTCTCTCTCTCTCTCTCTCTCTCTCTCTCTCTCTCTCTCTCTCTCTCTCTCTCTCTCTCTCTCTCTCTCTCTCTCTCCCTCTCTCTCTCACTCTCTCATCTCTCCCTCTCACTCTCTCACTCTCTCACTCTCTCACTCTCTCACTCTCTCACTCTCTCACTCTCTCACTCTCTCACTCTCTCACTCTCTCACTCTCTCTCTCTCTCTCTCTCTCTCTCTCTCTCTCTCTCTCTCTCTCTCTCTCTCTCTCTCTCTCTCTCTCTCTCTCTCTCTCTCTCTCTCTCTCTCTCTCTCTCTCTCTCTCCTCTCTCACTCCTCGCTCTCTCACTCCCTCTCTCACTCCCTCTCTCTCACTCCCTCTCTCTCACTCCCTCACTCTCACTCCCTCACTCTCACTCCCTCACTCTCACTCACTCTCACTCCCCCTTTCTCATTCCCCCTCTCTCATTCCCCCTCTCTTTTAGAGCTAACAAATTGTTTAGTACTTATTCAGTTACATTTAGAAATTATGAGAAAGAAATATGTATGAATTGTTATCAGCTTGCTATATTTTTATGTGCATGTTAGAGTTGTGAAAGGCTAATATGTATTGCACCTGAGGAGGGAATATTCATTAAGCCATGTCACTGATCTGATGAAGAAATTACAGAATTAATAATTTAGCATCTACTTGGTTTCCACACTATGTTTTTAAAGTAATTTTTTGTTGTCCCATTAGTGTGACCTAGTACTTGGGACAGTCAAACATGGACTCATTGTTGCCTTTGTGTTAGAGTTGGTGAATGATCTCTCAATATATTGCAATGATTAGAATGTACTGTAATAGTAAATGATCTTGTAGTAGATACAAGTGTGCATGTGTTTGTGTGTGTGTGTGTGTGTGTATGTGTATGTGTATACTTTAAATTCATTTGATTTACCATGAGTCAGCTGGACAGAGAGCCTGATGTCAGTATAATTTATATTGATAAGACTAAAGACTATACTAAATTTTAAAATTCATTCTTATCTGATTGTGTCTTCTTTGATATGTCATATTGGTAATATACAGATCCTTTGATCCAACCAACAATTACACCTGCTACCCTCAAAGGCCAGACCAGCCTATTCAAGCGATATGGCACCTGACTTATTTCTCTCAGGTTTTCTCTGCTTGAGACAACCCTTGATCGAGCAGGCTTGTAGGACATCCTAGGAAGTCATGTCTCGGGCAGATTGATCAGATACATTGCGAGGAGCTAGAGATGGACCGAGGCTCTGCCTGGCAGCTCACCATGAGAGACCCTCATAGGTGGAAATGATGGATGGTTGGAGCTATCACCCCAAACAACTTTAGCTCCCATTGATTGACTGATACTGAGACTGTAGGTCTCACTGTCACAACAGCCATTAATTCTCTTTGGCTTCGCTTTTTAAACAATACAGTAGATGTTTGATATCTTTTGAGATTAGTGATCAGTATACATATGCAAAACTCAGTATTAGTATGTTTTTCTTCTTAGCCCATTAATTCTGGGATGAGATATGTAGATGCCATGGCCACTATGATTTTAGTTTATTAATTTTGTGTATACAGATTGTGCCTCATATGCTTAATCACAAGGATTCAGTGATTAGTTCTACCTGATCTCATCTGTTTACCCTTTTCATTGATTTTCATAAAAGCTAACGTAATTTTTGTTGCACAATCAAAATGTCACTAATGACAGTAATGTTGATAATATTACTAATGATAATGAAAATGGT